ACTGCCTGGAATTCTAGCTATTTTATTGGAGTTTTATGTATAATTTTCTTAAAGTCGCGGTGTAAAATGTTGAGTATATTATAGAAATAAATCTGACATTTTTCCAAATTTTCTTCAGGAATAAACTTAATCATTGTAAATCATTTACGGAATACTTCACGCATCAGGAATGTCATTGAAGATGTCAAAGTCCTATGAACGTCCTTAAAAAAATTATTATTGCAAAAGTGTTAACAAAAAGTAAATTTTTCCTTACCATCATATCTTTCGAGGACTTGAGACTTGTTATGAAACCAAAGTCAGGCCTGTGGAGCTCAACATATCACATCAAGATAGCACATCATATCATCAGTAGATCAACATATCACCGTAGCCAAAATATACCTATAAATATACCTTTACGCAGTAGCAGCATAATGTAAAAGTAATACCCTTGCGTAGGGCAATTGTATAAAGGGGCAACCCAAGGACCAAGTAGACCGCAGTCATAAGTCGACAAAAAGTTTTGGCACAAATAGGTGAGAACTACTCCATCTCTTCGACTTTTACAACAGATAAGGGATTTAGAAGTGGTCTGGGCGAAGTGTTACTCTCATCCTTTTAATTTTTGTTCATAATTATTTAAGGGTGGCGAGGCTCTACTCTCCTCTTGATAGGTATATCTTAAGTCTTATTTCACTATCTTTACAATCTCTATATAGACGGACACACCCTTAGTTACCTTGGTTGGTGATTATTAAAATAAAATTATTGCATTTTTTGTAGCTGCTATATGAGATGCGACTGACTTTTTAGCATCGTGAAACAATGAAAATTAATCAAAAATATTTTTGTAATTTTTTCACCATTTCCAAATAATATATGATCTGAAACAGTTCCATAAAAACCCCAAAAACAATTCAACATAACCATTACCTGAAAAAGCATCTATTCATTAGATTTCTTATCAAATTGGTTTTCTATGGCCGCTTTTATCTCACTGTTGTCTGAAAATTCTTGAAAAAAAGGAAAATGTCCCTGGGAGCTCGATTCGAACCGTAGGGTGGATGGTAAATTTTTGTACATCCAGTAGCTTTTAAGGCATCCCTCGCAACCCGAACGGCCTGAATGGTTGCCTTGTGTTGAAGAACCAGCTCTCCGTGCACTAATATCACATCTCTTCTTAATAATATTCCTTCGTTATTTCAGAAAATGGCAGTTATAATCTTCGATGCCAACTTTTCCACTTGAGTTATTTTGGCAACCTTTCTCCTTTTAAATATGCTGCATCAACTCCTGTTTGGACGCGGTATCAGATAGACAAGTCCAAGATTCATAAACTGTTACAGTGGGATTCAAAAATTTCGTCCACACCCTCTTGGCACAACACCAGAAAATTTATACAACTCTCCAACTGTCGTTGCTTGCCGAACGGCGTGAGCATTCGCGTTAACCAACGCGCTTTAATTTTTTTCATATTCAATTCTTTTCGTAAAAGCTCTCCAGTTGGTTATTTGCTAATCTGTGCTCCTTTTGCTATCTGCCACGATTTATTTATTCGATCACCCAGTACTAATTTTTCGACTTTTTAAACATTTTCCGCGGTCACGAGCGTCAGTGGACGGCCCAGGTGGGGGTCATCTTCACAGGCCTTTCTTCCTTGTTGAAACTGCCGAGCCCATTTTTCAGCATCACATACAAAGGGACATAGTCCTGAAGAGCCGATAACAGCTCTTTCGAAATTTCATTCGGCGTATTCGCTGTTCGTACAAGGAATTTAAACACAGCGCAATTTTGCATTCGTTGGCATAGTGTTGTTGTGTAGTGTTTCGTTGGCTTGTTCCAGGAACGAAACGTTAATGAACCTAATTAAAAACACCGAATCCTGCAATTAAATTTATCAGTAACGAGACCCTTTGTCATCTCTAACTACCTTAGGTCGCAAACTTATCAGCCGCCCCATATGGTGTTGGAAAAATAAGGTCAGTTGAAAGTGAGATTACTTTTTGGGGACGTTGAACTGGAAATGACACCAGACAGACTCAGGAAAGCAGCAAAGCAGCTTTTATTTGTTTATTATGCTGAAGTATGGTTATCTAAAGGAACTTAATAGGGACACATACATAGGTATATATGTATTCTGGGGACTCTTCGGACATTGGAGTAGTTATGAGACGACTTTTTTCCTAAAAACATCACTATATTTATATAGAATTTTCGCTTGAGATGAAAGTCTTAATTCATTTGAAAGTGTCTTCAATATCCTAACCTGTTTCTCGAGTTTTAATCTACGTCGTTTAATTTCAATACAATTCTCATTATCATATAATTTTTTTATATATTTTTTTTAAATAATTCATACCGCAATTCTCACTTTGCACCCATTAAAATACATATTTATGCATACCTTGGTTATATTTTGTTTTTGTATTCGAATCTCTTATATTATTCCAATATTCCTGCATATAGATAAGTAATCAGCTTAATTCATTAGCATATGTGTCGGTGTGTGTGTGCGTGTGTGTGCAACCACTACTGGACGGCCATTTAATGCAATCTTAATATCAAATCTGTTTTCGAGTTACTCTAATGATCAAGTAAAATAAGATGTGTAAAGTAGAGGGCAAAGAGAAAGCTTAAACAAATATCTACTAAAACAAATAGACAAAGAGCATAAAAGAGTATATACGTGCACACATACATATATAATTTATAAATTGCAGCAAAGTGCAGTTAAGCTTTATATATGTGTGTGTGTGTGTGGTTCATATATTAGACGAGTATGTATTTGTAGAAGATTTCAAAGCAAACAAATGTGTATATGTGCACTTATCTTCACTTATATATGTATATATATATATATAAATGTTCATGTGTTTATAAATCCTTCTCCTAGACAACCGGACAATAAGTAGTGCAAATGCAGTCAAAAGCTCTGCGCTCAAGACCAGTAAATCTTCATTTTAAATACGAAATTCCAAGAACAAAATGTGCTGTAAGTTAGCAGCATAGATATGTTTGTATGTTTTTATCTACGACTGTTTATATATATCAATATATGTATGTAATTGTATGTTAAAGCACACATTGCATTCTTTTGTGCATTTTATTACCAAATTTGTGCAAGGATTCGCAGGATACTGAAATTGTGCACTTTAAGCTTTCATGTGTAAACATACACACACACATATATACATTAGCACGTGGATTGGTGGTTGTATTGCACACATCTTGAGAGCTTAGAGAATTTCTCTGTTGTTGGCTTCTATTTGCTTTGGCAAATATGAAGATGCTGGTTCTCACACTCGAAAAAAAAATCATATATATACATAAATATATGTACTTATTTATATAATAGATATTTATATAAATATGTTTATAGTTTTTTCCTCTATCCTCTTTTTATTTATCCAAAGAAGTATATGCAGTTTCGGCTAAATATTTTTCTTTTTTTGTTTTGTATTGTAAAATGCTTTCTTCAGTTCTTTTGTAAATAGCTCTCGATCTACTTCCATGTTTTTTCCATTGCCAAAGTGTCTCTTTATCGCCATATCCTGAAAATTCTTCTAAAAAACCCGTCTTAGGTAATTTGTAATTATCAAACACTTGGACATTCATAGGGTAAATATATAAAGGGTGATTTTTAAGCTATTATGCTTTTGGCAACACTGGTGACGCACGTTTCGTGTTTTGATTCGGTGTCAAACAGTTTGGCTTATAGTTTAACCATGAAACGAACATCGCTTGCAAATTATTGAAAAAAAGTTGAACCTGACCATTTGAGGCACAGTCACGGTCAACATTAGCAGGAAATATATTATATTAGTCAAGTGAAAAGTTCGTTCGGTGTTTATCTAAGAGATGGCGTTATTGTCCATGGTACTAGTGTTACGTGTGGCATTATGCTAACAGCGCTAAAAACGTGTTCATTCGCATTAAAAGTTTGTCTTTGACAGTTTTTCAATTAACTAACTCAGTACGTTGTGAGCGCTGATCAAAGATGGACTCCAGCAAAGAGAAAAAGAGAAAATTCGCTACACTTTATAATTTTTCTTCGGTCAAGGCGAAAAAGCTCCAGGAGCTCAGATGAGAGATTTTAATGCACCCACCTTATAGTCCGGACCTGGCACCAAGTGATTACCATCTTTTCCAGTCCATGGCGAACGCGCTTAATGGTGAGAAGTTGGTCTCAAGAGAGGCCTGTGAAAATCAGCTCTCCGATTTGTTTGCGAATAGGGACGCATACTTCGACGAGAGGAATGTAATGAAGTTGGCATCGCGTTGGTAACAAAGTTTACAAACAAAACGCCGCACATTTGACTTGATTCGGATAAATGTGCACAAGGTTATAATTTTTTGAAAAATCAATAAAAAACGGAATGAAATTTTTACTTGACCTAAAGTTTTATATATGGATTCGAATAAAAGTTTCATGCATTTCTCTAAATTTTATGTTTTTTTTTTGTTTTCAATTTTATGAAAAACTTTCCTGTAGTTCTTAAAAAATCACACTTTTTTAAAGATTATTAAACTGTCCAAAGAATAAAAAAATTACAATCACGTTTTCTTACTTCACTTTATCTCCTTCAAATAATAAAAATTTTACTCTGAGATAACTGTATAAAATTTTTACCAGCGGTCATATTGACCGGCCGCGTTAAGCCCCTGAAGGTTGAAGGTTCAAGAATTTATCCACGGTAAAACATGCCTGTTGTAAGAAGCGACTAAAATCCAATAGTTCCCGCGAGAGTTGGGTCTTTATACCGGAACGAGCCGGATTTTTTATCCAAGTCTGGTTTTAATGAGGGTTTACAAAATATCTTCTCTCATCAAAGAACTAGACACGCTCCCATGCCACTTTTGACTGTCATATCTTTAAGTTATTTATATATATATATATATATATTTTATTTTTTTGAGATCTTGTATATTTTACCAATAAAAACAAAATATTTGGAAACAATATTAAGAAAAACTTATGCAAATCAAATAAAGGAATATATTTTTCGCTTCTTTTGCAGTCACCAACTTCCTTCAATACACACTTGGCACTTAACTGAGTATATAGAGAGCGAATATGACGAAAAGAGAGAGATTATTTCACGAATGGTTCAATCTGTTCGCACTGATCTGGCTGATCATTACGGAAATCTGTTTCAATGGTATGTAAACATATAAATAACTTAAAATAAGTAAATAAATATACATCAATTTACATGTACATGTGTAAGAGTATATAGTTCACATTTTTAAATACATACAAAAGTAAATAGTGAATTTTCGCCATATCGAGAAGGTGAGAAAAAGCGAGTAAAAGCCGTCCAAACGATAAATGTGCTAATAGACTTTGGAAATTCGAGTTTTTCTGCGATTTGCAAATGCAAATTGTAATTTCCAGCTGTTCAAATATTGCATGTATGCAATAAAGCCGTTAAATGCATTTCGCCATGCATACATACTTATTTGCGCAGAAGTTTTTAATCGCACTTTAGCATAAATAAATTGTTTTTTATTTACTTTATTGCCATTAAATTTCCAAATATTGCAATTTGTTAAATGCGTTATGCAGCGCAAATAAAAAAGCAGAAAAAAGTTACGGTAATGTTTTAAATTTCCAACAATACTATAGCTTAAAAAACAAGTACTGTATATGCATGTGTGTGTGTGTGTGAAACATTTACTGAACGCCGATAAATATTCGACAGCGTTGAGAGCGCTTGGCAAAAATTTCACGCAATGCAGTTCGCAATGAAATGTCAGTAGGAGCAACCACATTATTGCCAATAAAACAAAATTGCCGTTATACTGCAGTGAAATAGTGATGATGCATTAACTCATTAGGGTGGCCTCAACATATGCAGTATGTACTAAGAAAAAGTTTATAATTTCGACATTATTAACCTGAAAATGTTTCACTTATTAAATCCGAGAGAACTTTTCTACTCCCTCTCTCTCTCTCTCTCTTATATTCGCTTGAAACGATAGAGATGGCAATTATCTACGGCACAGGGTTATGGTATGTTGTTGCGGTAACGGCATTTTAACTATGATTAGGCAAAAGTACTGGATTTCGTCGAGTTCGCAACGAAAGAAGAGTAGGTTAAATGCATGCGTTTTTAATGCTTTCCCACCAAGGGGCGGACGCATTTTGAAAAATTTGTTTTCCATAATTTTGAAAAATTTATTTTCCACAATTTCGATAAATTTAATTTTTTATTAACTTGGAAAATTTATCTTCCACAAGTTTGAAAAAATTTTTTCCATAATTTTGAAAAATTTATTTTCCATAATATTGAGAAATTTGTTTTCCTTAATACTGAAAAAAATTTTAACATCATTTTGAGAATTTATTTCCCATAATTTTGAAAGATTTAGTTTCCTTTAAAACTTTATTTTCCATAATTTTGAAAAAATTATTACCCATAATTTTGAATAATTTATTTTCCATAATTTTGAAAAAATTATTAACCATATTTTGAATAATTTATTTTCCATAATTTTAAAAAATATATTATCCATAATTTTGAAAAATTTATTACCCATAATTTTGAATAATTTATTTTCCATAATTTTGAAAATATTTTTTTCCATAATTCTGAAAAATTTACTTGCCATAGTTTTATAATTTTTAAAAATTTGTATACGTTAATTCGTGATATAGTTGGGTTGGGTTGGGACGCTTCTAAAAGCCAGTTGTGCACATTAAGTGACGACCCAGTCGACTATAAAAAAATAAAATTTATATATTTAACCTCGTGTGTGTTTCAACGGCTCTTTTAAAGCTTTTTAACCCTCTTCTTCTTCTTCATTTAAGATGCACCCTAATGTATATTTATAAATAAATATATCTATTTTTTTATCTTTACATTCTGACAATATCGCCAACAACTTCATCGCTCTTCACATAACTACTACTGCTGGTTGTTGTTCTTGTTATTTGTTACCAGCAATGCGGCAGTTAATTTAACTTTAATCACATACTGGGTTATTTCATTTTTAATTGTATTCTCAGACCATACATTCCGCCAAAGCACTCGTCAATGTTGTACTCGTTGTTGTTGTTGTTGTGCATATATTACCAATGCTCAGCACAACGAAAAAAATGAGTAATCAACAACAAACCGTTTTTTTTTTTATTACCCAATCGATGGTCATAAAAATGCAGAAATATAAAATTAAGAAAAAAAATTATGCTGCCGGAATGCGGCATAGAGTTCGTGAAATGCGGCGTATGCAAATTTCAGTTAACGCCAATTGAAGCGAGCGCAAGCAGCGACGACTAGAGTCAGTCGAACGGGTGCGGAGGAAGGACCAACGGACGGGGAGACGCAGGTCGCGACATAAGCTGCTGCAATTGAGTTATAAAAATGCAATGATGCACTCTCAGCCGACGTATCATCGCGCAGGTGAGATAAGGGGAGCCGTGGTCGCCGTGGCGGATTGTCTTCTTTATTATTTATGGCGAAAAATGGCGCGCGAATGGATGTGTGTATGTGTGTATGTGTGTTTGTGTGCAGGCATGCATTTATAGTGGCTCAGCCTTAACCTCAACTCAGGCTCACGCGCTCAAGTGCCACACGGTCATGGTAAGCTGAAGGTAGGCTGAATTTTCAATTAAAACGCAACTCAGATTAAAAAATACCAATAAAATAAATCATATGTGGAGGTGGTGTGTATGTGTGTGTATGCATGTATATATATATATGTGCATATGTAAGTTGATTCTTGCGAAAGTAAATTCATTCAGTAGTGAAAGGAGAGCTGCTTTCGCTTTAATCTTTCCAGCAAATCTCAATGAAGTCAATTCTTAAAAGAAATTTGAGCACAAAATGAACTTTAATAGCTTTAAAACTCTCTCTCTCTCTCTCGGCGACAAGGTGCTCTAAAAACGGTTAACCGTTACGAGTTTAACAAGATTGAAAAACCAACCTCTCCTAAGAAGCTGATTGCCCATTTGGGTGTGCGAGCTTTTATGCTGAAAGCTCATTTCAGAGCCTTTGGGGACATATTCGTTCTGAACATACCGAGGTAATGATCGGCAGTGACAGTAACTAAAACTTCCTACTCGTTTTCGAAGAAAAGCGGAACAATGATGCCGCTAGTCCACATACCGCATGCCTGAATCTTATATTCTTCTGCCAAGAGATATCAGCTTATTGAGCGAGGCAAAATCGCATCAGATTACTATGAGACTTCTTTGTGCAAAACTCTGTGCGAAACATGCACGAAATATCGTTGATTGTTTATTTCTGTTAGTCCTTAAGAAGAGGAGCAATATTTTCCCCTAAAAGCGCTGGAGAAGCACGAACGCGAATTTCCTTTTTCCGACATCGAACCCGTTTAGCGAGCTCGCTATACGAATTTATCCACATATTGCCTGTAAGGCCTCCACTTAGGCACTCTAGAGATCCACATTTCGACATCTGTCAAACTGAAGAGTCAAACCAAAACATGTTTTGTTTCAGTTAAAATCCAGGCTTTTATGAAACCGAACCGCTTAACAACCGTGCAAGGTGCTAAAATTGTTAAAATCTTCGACGAAAATGGCAATTCAAACGTGACCACGTTTCGCGCTATGAGAGGAGATTTGGTACACTTAATCGTCCAACTACTCAAACAGCGGTTACAGATATTCTGAGGTCAATGCATATTCGTTTTGCTCATTGCACCTTAAATATCGCTTGTGTCAGTGAATGTGAAGCCGAAGACCCGAATATATATATTTCTCGATGTTCGGAAGAGCTGGAACTGAAGGCGGCCCATTGTGTCGTATTTTGTATTAATTTAAGGTCGAACTCACACAACAACTGAAGGCAGCTTACCATTCACAACGTCGTGCATACATCGATTGCCTGCTGAGCAACAAGCAGTGAACGGGGATTTTTTGACCGAAATCATCTTCAGCGACGAGACATATTTCTCACTCGGGAGAAACGTAAATAAACTACAAGAGAGGCCATTACAACCTTACTTCTTTGAAACCGAAAACAGCTAGGCTGTTAGCTCTGTCAATTCGGAAATTTATAGTCGTTTAATAATCGATTTTTTTGGCCTATAATTGAAGAGAAGGCCTTGGACAATAAGTGGTTTCAACAATATGACGCCAGACGAGCGATTCAACATTAGCGAGTATGGCGTTATTGCGAGAGAAGTTTCTCAGCAACATAATCTCTCGTCTATGCGATGTCAATTGGCTACCAAGATCGAAAGACCGTGTTCATGGGGGATACACTTTCAACTCTTGAGCACTTGAAACCACACACTCGTCAAGTTATGACTAAGATTTCACTATTTATGTGCCACAAAGTGATTGAAAATTACCACAAACCGATTCTCAAATAATGTAGTGTTGATGCATATAATGCCAAGGTTCCAACTTTATAATTAAAAAGGGATTTTTTAGGCAAAAATTATTTAAATGTATTTAATTCACCTTTTTTTCGAAACTACAATTGAAAGTGTGTGGTATCCGTAATTATATTTTTATCAACAAAATGGAGGAACTTACAGTCCATTCTAAGCCGCCTCTGGTATAATTTTACGAAAAGATTTTCATATCTGAAATACGCTCTGGGATCTTGACATATCCCACCGAGGGGCGGCCGCTAAAAGAAAAATTCTTTTTCTATAATTTTGGATGTTGGTCGAACCAGAACTCAAGCCCTGGCCTTCCGAATGGCAGTATGCAATGCTAACCACTCGGCATTTGGAGTTGAATATTAATGTACGTTACCCAATTTCTTTTCTTTTTTTTTGACTCGAAACCAAAAGATTTCTACCGAAAATTGATAGACCTCCATTTTGGTACCTAATCCGCAAATATCACCCATTAACACCCCTGAAAATGAACTTAGTGCCCATAAACTGAAGGTCGCCAAAAAGGAGTCTCAATATTTCAATAAGACCATTTCTGTATAGCTCGAACCTGCTAATCATACTTAACCTCAAACAATCTCTTATCCGATTTATATTTACTTAACAGCCACTAATGGATATTGCAAATCGAAAAGTTACCCTCGATAGTTCTTGAATGAGCCTTAACTACGCTGCAATGAGAAAGCTTTAAATTACTTCAAGTAAAAAATAACAAAAAACATATTTATATATATTTGTACATGCGCGTGCGTTTGCAGGTACTTGCAAATGACAGCTGAGCAGTTGA